GAAAGATAAAACTAGAAGAAGATAAATCCTAAAGTATAATAATTTCTTTTTCTTCCTTCTACCTCCTCCCTCCTTCTTTCTTCATGGAGAACCTATGTGAGACTCCTGAATATCTTTTAGAAGAGGTAGACATTCCCTGGTTACTTGTTTTATAGGTAGCTCGCTTAAAAATGAGTTACAGGGCAGCCAGTTGGCTCAGTTGGTTAGAGCGCGGTACTTGCAACACTAAGGTTTCCGGTTCAATTCCCACATGGGCCAGTGAGCTGCGCCCTCCACAACTAGATTGAAAACAATTACTTGACTTGGAAATGATGGGTCTTGGAAAAACACACTGTTCCCCAATAAAGTTTAAAAAGAAAAAATTACACACACACCCCTCCCTCTCTCTTCTCTCTCCCCCCAATCCCTCCCTCCCACTCTCTCTTCTCCTCTCTTTTCCTCCCTCCTCTCCCTCCTCCCTTCTTTCTCTCCCCAGCCCTGCCCTCCCTTCCTCCCTCTCCTCCTTCCCTCTCCCTTTCTCTCTTTCCCTCTCTGTCGCTCTCACTCACACACACAAGTCCCAAATATGCAATATCTTTTCATAGCACATTAAAAAAATAATAAACTCTCTCATCCTCTCAGGGTACAGATGATGTTTTAACAATGAATGAAAAAGTAACTGCCTCATGCTAGGAAACCATTTTTAAAATAATGTCATCGTTATATATTTTTTATTGTTGACAAAAACTATGACAACTTCATATGTGCAAACTTTAGTGTTGGAAACATAATTTTCTAAATTCAATGAGCATATGATCCTATTTGCTAAAAATATTAAAATGTAATCTTTTAATTTATTTTCCTGAAAAACTGATTTATATCAGTGAACACTGGAAATCTACTAGCTAAATTTCAGTAGAAACCTTTGCATAAATAAGGTACAGGATTGAAATTTGGTATCATGATTTAGTAAATATAGCAATTCTTCCATTTGTGTAGCAATGTCTTTGTAATAGCCAATGAAACCAAACATCAAAATAAGCCAATTTTAGTGTCAAACCTTAGAGGCACTATTTTTTGTGTGTAACAAAAGTGTTGCCATTAACAAATACAATTTTATAATTACTCTAAAATATTATTTATTTCACTTTATCTGGGCCCTTTAAAATTTCAGTATTGGTTATATACATATTAGTTAAATAATAATGCATAAAATATACAATTGGCAGTTTTATAAGGATCATTTTCAGTCCACATATTAAATGAACCCACGCAGTTCAAACCTGTGTTTAAGGGTCAACTGTACATATTTTGAAGATACAAATGCAAAAATTTCTTAGCGATGGAGAATGCATGGTCAAAAAAGCTGAACACCCGTTTGTTTAAGCTGTAGTCCTCCCCTGCTTGGACCACTGCAATCATCTCCCAATAGCTATCTTTACTACCATTCTAGTTTTCTTATAGCTATTTTCCATTTAAAAGCAAGGATGATCTTCACAATATGCAGTGTCATTGTATAATTCTGCATAGTAAACTGCACACACACATAAATCTGTAATGTGATCTACAAAGTCTGCAAGCTGTATGATCTAGCTTCTCAGGTCTTGTGTCCCATTTCTCACCTCTTTTCCTCCTGTGCTTTTTCCTTTCACAGGCTGCCTTTATCCTTTATACTAGCTGTGCTCCTATCCTTATTGGCCTTCGCTGTTCTTTCTTTTCTTTTTTTTAAGATTTTTATTGGGGAATTGGGGGATGGGAACAGCACTGGGGAATTGGGGGAACGGGAACAGACAAGTTGCTGTCCTTTTGTCCTCAAGCTAGTTGTGGAGGACGTTGCTTCACTGGCCCAAGTTGGCACCATCATTGCGCTCTTCCCGGGTGAGGCAGATCAGTCGCCGGCTTCTGGACGGCCGCTCACGCTGGCTGCTGGCTACACACGGTAGCCCATGGCAACCCACTGCAGCCTACGCTGTCTCCGGAGACTCACGGCAGCCCAGCTCCAGGTTGAGCTGTTGTCCAGCATCTTAGCTGTAGAGGGCAGTGTCACTGGCCCTCATATGTGGGATCCGAACCGGGGCCCTCTGGCATCCCAAGCCAGCTCTTAACCAACGCGCCACTCGGCCAGCCCCCTTCGCTGTTCTTTCTACCTTATACACTTATCTTTCCCTTCCTTTCCCAGCTTATTTCCTACAGATCCTTCAAATCTCAACCTAAGCAGTACTTACTCAGGGAAGCCTGTGTTCATCTTCCTGGCCAGATTCATATTCATATTCATACTCATGTTCTCTCTCTCACGCACACTCACAGGGACACACAATTACAAGTTCTTATACAAGTATAATACTGTTGTACTTACCACAGTTGCCATTTTACCTTTTTTTGCGTGAGTAGTTGCAAAGATAGTCATTGACATTATTCAGGCGGGTGTTAAGCTCCATGAGGACAAGCCCATTGTTCGATTTTGCTTATCATTCTATTTTTCCAGTACTTAGATATATGAGAGTATGTCATGCCAAAGGGTTTGTGTTTCATACTTAGGAGAAACAAAGAGCCATTGGAGGCTCTGTGAAAAATAGGAGAGTAATGATGACACATATTAAGACCTGGGCTTTGGAAAGATTAACTAGAGGCTGTAATTGTGAAGGAGAGCGTCTGGAGTCAGGAAGATCCATTAGGTGGCCATTGTACAATAGATGAAAGCAGTTGAGGACCCAAAGTCTGCAGTGTAATGGAGAGGAGATAGTGTTGCATTTAGGAGCTGTTTGGAGACAGGATCCAGTAGCACTTGGTGACTAGCTGACTATTGTCAGAAGTGAGGGAACAGAGTCAGAGATTACTTGAAAACTTGGGCTGTTGACTTGTATTTTAGGCCACTTATCTGGTAAATTAGCAGTTCAAGAGAATGGAGGATTCTTTTCATTTTTTACCACAATTCATAGGCATGGCCTCTTTGCCACTGCTTATTGATAGGTTTTTAAAATAGCCTTATAGAGATACCATGCAATTCACCCATTTAAAGTATACAATTAAATGGTTTCGAACATACTTATAGACATGTGCAACTATCACTATAGTCAGTTTTAGAACATTTTCATCACCTCAGAAAGAAATTGTCTCCTCTTTAGCTATTACCTTCTCTTCTTCTGTTCCCCTGACAGCCACTAAATTACTCTCTGTCTTAACAGAGTTCCCTTTCTGGACATTTCATGTAAATGGAATCATAACATGTGGTCTTTTGTGCCTGGATTATTTCACTTAGCATAATGTTTTCAAGGTTCTTCCAAGTTGTAGCATGTATCAGAACTTCATTACTTTTTATGGCCAACTATTTCATTGTATTTGATATAGCTCACGATTTGTTTATACGTTCATCAGCTAATGGACATGTGGGTTGTTTCAGGCTTTTGGCTGTTATGAATAATGCTGTTGTAAACATTTGTATACAACTTTTGATGTGGACATATGTTTTCATTTTACTTGCGCCCATTGGTAACTATGTTTAATCATTTGAGAAACTGCCAGAATGTTTTCCAAAGCAGGTTGCTACACCATTTTACATTCCCATACGCTTCCAATTTCTCCATATCCTTAACCGCATTTTTTATCTCGCTTTGTGATTCTAGTCATCCTAGTGGGTGTGAAGTAGTATCTATCTCTGTGGGTTTGATTTGTATTCCCCCCATGACAAATTATGTCAAACAGCATCTTTTCATGTACTTATTGGCCATTTGTATATCTTCCTTGGATAAATGTATATTCAGATCCTTTGCCCTTTTTTATTGGGTTGTCTTTTTATTTTTAAGAGTTCATTATATAATATAAATATCAGTCTCTTAATCAGGTATATGATTTGCAAATATTTTCTCCCCATTCTGTGGGTTGTCTTTTCATTTTCTTGATGGTGTCCTTTGAACTGCAAAAGCTCTTAATGTTGGTGAAAACTAACTTATCTATATGTTTCTTGTGCTTTTGGTGTCATATGTAAGAACTCTTTGCCAAAGGCAAAGTCATTAAGATTTGGCATTATGTTTTATTCTAAGAGTTTTGTAGTTTTAACTCTTATATTTAGGTCTTTGATTCATTTTGATTTAAAATTTTTTTTTATACCTAACTTCATTCTTTTCCATCTGGCTATTCAGTTGTCCTAGCGCCATTTGTTGAAAAGACTATTCTTTCCTTATTGGATGGTCTTGGCACCCTTATTAAATATCAGTTGACCATAGATGTAGGTTTACAACATTTTGTAACAGCAAAACTATGTTTTAGCTTTCTACTGTTTGCGTTTCTCTTTTACAGTTAATTCTGTTATTAAAGGATGATTATGCTTATTTTTAAGTAGGCATTTAGGGATTTAGGGATATTTGTGTAATTTTAGTACTACATAGTGTACCACAGACTTAACCTAGAAAAATGGACAATTTGCACATGTGAAACATCTATCCTGATCATGAAAGTTGAGTTTGGAAACTCATGTTTCTTTCACAGTACATTTTGGCTTCCTCTTTACTGGTGCTTCCTGAGGACCAGGCATTGTGCTAGTATTGGGCTTATAAAGAAGTATATGACAATCTCTTCTAGTTGCTAACTGTGAGATTTTTTTGAGCAGGGAGAGAGAGAAGAAGGGAGTAAAATGACATGGGACGACTATGTATAGCGTTTTTAGTCCATAAAAGTGGTATATTTTGAGACTATATAGGTTATTTTCACACTAGTATGCAGTGTTTGGTATTACCTTTAAAAAATTTTTTTCTTAAGACCAAGAATCTTACATTTAAACAATTTGCATTTCCAGGACTCTAAATTAGGGTATGAATATCGTGGATGCTGTGCTGAGAAGAAATGAATGATAAAGAAAGACTATTAGGTCACTTGAATTCTTACAGCATTTTTCTTTTATGCATTCTTAGGAATTCAACATGTTTTTCATTGAATTAGCTGGAATTAAATAATTTGAAGCATTTTCCACTAATGTACCTTTTTCACTTAATGTTACCATATAATTTTATATCCCTTTGTCTTAGGAATCTCAGCAGTCCAACTTTGGCTCTGGAGAACAAAGTGAGTATTTTTCTCTTGGCTTTCTAATTAAGCTGTTTATTAAGCTTTCATTTTTCATGGTCATGTCATGTATTGCTTTAATAATTCTTTTGCATGTCTTATCCCAATTTTTATTATGTGATAATTAGCAGTGGGTTGAACTGAATCTTGACATGCTTATAAATGAAGAATTATAGATTATTGGAGATCAAAATCAACTTTTTATTAAGTATTTGAACCAATATTTCAAAGTTCATGAATCAATTTGGTGGGCACCTCATAAACCCAAGAAACATTCTGTCTTTCCATCTCCTTCATGAGGATACTTGGTTCTTGATAGTAAAACTCCAGGACCAAAGGGGTCGTTGTAGCTTATAATGGCTCTTCTCTTCCTATTTCTATATTTATTTATTCTTCCTGGGTCTTTTGGTCTGGGAAGAAAGCCTGCTGTCTGCTACACAATCCCCTTTTACCTCCACTCTCTGGGCCTCTCAGAAGAACTTCAGGGGAAGATAACCTTAGGGAATTCAAGTATGGTCCCAAGACATGATGGCTGTGTAATTGATAGTGTTAAGATTAGTGGTAAGGTCAGGAAACGTAGCAAATATCTGGGCTTTGCCACATAACTCTGTAACAAAACAAATGTTCTCTTTGCCAAGAGTAGTAACTTCTTATAGAAGGTAGATTAATGCTGGTAGTAAACTATTTTGGGAGATAAAAATGTGAAACTTTTTGATCCTTAGCTTGTTGTCTTTAGTGATCTTAAAGATGAAACTAGAAGACTATCCTTTTTAATGTTAACGAACTATATATCCATTTCTTACATCTGCCCTAAAGCTGTAGTTATAGGAAAAGGGACCTAACATTGTGAATATATAGGAAATAGCTAGCTATAGACCAGAAAGTTTACATTTTCTCTTAAAATGTTTAAAAAAATGGCTCATCCTGACTTCTACCCCTCCCCTTATACTCTCTCCCCAAGGAAACTATTGGCAAATGGGATCATCAGCGGCACCTGCTCTTTATTATCTGTGTTTTTCCCTTAATTTATTTTGGAGCTGTTTCTGTATCAACATAAAGCTCTAGCTCATTCTTTTTAACATCAAAATTGTGTTAATATTGTATGAAAGTGCCATAATTTATTTAACTAGTCCCCCTCTTGATGGACATTTGTTTCCAGATTTTGCTGTTACAAACCATACTATCGTAAACATCCATGTGTGTATATTTATGTATTCCTTCAGATATGCCTAAAAGATAAATTCCTTTTGTCATAATTGCTAAGTCAGTGGATATGTACACTTAACAGTATTGATAAGATAATATTACCAGATTACCTTCCAGAATGATGAATGAGTTTATAGTTCTACCAACAGCATATGAGAATGTCTGTTTCACCAGTACCTAATATTATTGGACTTTAAAGTGTTAACAGCTTGATGAATGAAGAATTATATCTTATTGTTTTGATTTCTATTTCCTTGCGGGTATATCAATAGATATTTTATAATCTAAATTGCCCTACTTCAGTTACTGATTTCTGCATTCCATTTGTTCTAGAAAGATACAATCCTTCTTCTAAAACTTCAAATGGACATCAGTCTAAATCGTAAGTTTATTGCTTAATAAGTTTAATACTTGTCATTTTTGCTAAAAGTCTACCTCTAGAGTCTGGATATTTAGAACAACACTTAGAAATATGTATTTAATCTTTTTAGGCAGGGTAGGCAAAATTTTATGTAAAGGGCCAGGTAGTGAAATTGTTTTAGGCTTTAGGGGCCATATGGTTCCTGTCCCAACTGCTCAGCTCTGCCATTGTACATAAAGCAGCCATAGACATGGATCTGTGGCCGTAGTCTATGGCTGTATTCCAGTAAAAGAAAAAAATTTTTTTAATTAAAGTTTATTGGGGTGACAATTGTTAGCAAAGTTACACAGATTTCAGGTGTACAATTCTGTAATATATCATCTATATATCACATTGTGTGTTCACCAACCAGAGTCAGTTCTCTTTCTATCACCATATATTTGATCCCCTTTACCCTCATCTACCTCACCCCACCCCATTACCCTCTGGTAACCACTAAACTATTGTCTATGTTAAAATTTTCTTTACAAAATAGGTGGTGGTCTGAATTTGGCTTGTGGGCCACAGTTTGCATACCTCTACTCTGAGATTACAGGTTTTTTTCATCTCTCAGAGGTGTGTGTGTTGTATTTGTGTGTGTATGTTAATAGTTTGTTTTTAATAAAGAAGACATAAAAAAAAGACATGATTCTTCTTTGAAAGCCTTCCAATTAACCACTAAATGTAGAATACATATTAAAGCAACATAGTTTGTACTGTCTTTAAGTTTTCCAACTTTTATTTTGTAGGTAGAACCTGGAGTATACATTAAAATTTAATAGCATAGTATATTACATGATAATAAATTCCAGGTTAATAAATGAACTCCTCAATTCCTGAGACCACAAGTCATCTTAGTGAATGAAACAAAGTTCTAAAAAAACTGTGGCCACAGTGCTAGCTAGCTCTGTGCCATAACCACAATCTATACTAATAATCTCAGCCTCTTCAGATGACTATAGGGAGACCAGAATGAGAATGAAAATACATGAATGCAAGAAATCCTCTTTGTTGCTGAAGAATTCAAATTATATTCCTGTTTACCATATTTATTCATATGCAAAGAACTGATACAAACCTACCATATATGTGCATATCACTTTGGTTGCTGAGGGAACAAAAGCAGGCAGGACCTTGAGCATCTTGGTAAAAGCTTTGACATAGTCACATGTGTAAACAGGTTCACTGAGCTCCCATTATTAAATCCTAAGGACCGAGAGAATTCAGAGTAAGTACATTTGCTTATAGGAAATCAGTCATAAAGATGCACTAAGGCCTTGTCCAAAAGAAAACTTTTTTTCTGTCTCACTTAATTGGGCCAGCCTTAAAACACGTCTCATAATTCTGTAATCACCTGGTTACTTTGTTTGTAGGTGATCTTTTATGTGACACTCTGTGAATTTGGGGTCAGATTTAGAAACTCATGTTAAGCTTTGAGGGGAAACTGTAAGTAGTTATTGGAGTGAAAGATTTCCTTCCCACTGATTGAAGACTGTCATGAAATTTTAAGGAGAAAAGTAATGGAATTACTGACAATGGGAAATTAAACTTTTTCTAGTAGTTCTCCCTAAGCTTTGTATTCATTTTTTCTCTCCTGTAAAAAAGGAAAGTGTTTTGTGGTTCGTTATTCAGTTTTAATTTTTATTTTATGGCCTTAAGGAAAATTGAAGCATCAGCTTATAGTATTTTTTAAATTTATTTCAATTTTTATCAAGGAAGATTTGGAACCTGGAGTTTATTTTTAACTCCATTTTAACTCCATGGTCACTTCTGTTGTATAGCCAAATTTCTTACCCATAATTGTTACTGCTATAGAGGGCACTCATCTTTCATAAAAGCAAGGCATTTTATGAACTAGAACTTTGACTTCATGTTCTAGTTTTTATAGTTAACCTAGTTGTATAAATCTTCATGGAACATTGGGAACAATGAAAGACAATTGCTTATCCTTTCATTTTATCTTCCTTCTTGTTAGAGTTCTATCTCTCTAGTGGAGTGTTGGATATGAGTATGATAATTTGTTTTAATAATGAGTGTGTGTGTATGCAATTAGAAAAATTAGAGATAACAGAACTGAATATAAGAGTTTCTAGAAGGTAGCTTTTGTTTAATTAGAAAAGAAATATTTTACTTATGGAAGGGTTAGATTTTCTGAACTTTTAAATTTCTCAATTTTTACTCTGGATGTGAACCAAACCAGACAGAGTAAGACTTACTGCTTCTTTTCTTTGTTTTTCAAATTGAATCTTTGGCTACCACAGTGATTATTTCTAGAATTCTTAATAGATATTTAATACTCTGGTATGCCATGATAAACTGTTCCAAAAATAACAATCCTTTCTGCCTTTTCCCTCTAGTATGTTAAAAGATGACTTAAAGCTAAGCAGCAGTGAAGACAGTGATGGGGAACAGGTGTGTCTACTACTACATATTTGCCAGTTTCATCCAGTATTTGTTTTCATTGTTTTTTGTATGAATTGTAATGTAATAATACATTTATGATCCAGTTATTTAAAATAAGTTTCTTCCCACTTTCCGACACTGCAATGTCATTTTCCACTCTGTCTTTAAAGCTCCATTTTCTTCTGACTTTTAAAAAATTGGCTTTTCCTTAATATTTATCATGGATCAGAACATACTCATGAAGCACGAGATTGTTGACAGGAACTGTTAACAAAGTTTTTCATCTTATCCTGGCAATTATTTAGGTTAAAACAGTATGTTGTAAGTGTTAAGTAAACATTCATGCATACATTAGAGCAACCAGTTTTTCTAGTAAGAAAAGAGTTCAGATATTGTTTACATTAAGCAGATAGAGTGATATTTATTTATTTATTCACGGATTTCCTCTCATGTTTTAATTTTAGGATTGTGATAAGACAATGCCAAGGAGTACACCAGGAAGGTAGGCATCCTTTTACTTATTTTTTTCTGGTGGGGTGAGTGGGGTCAGCCTGATAACATTGTAGTGATATAATAGTTAACCTTATAAAGTAAATATTATCGATTGTGATGGTTGTACAACTCTGTAAATTAACTAGAAATTATTGAATTGTACACTTAAAATGTTTGTGCTACTTTTTAAAAGGTAAATACTGTGCAGCATATCAGAAATGTTTTAAGGAAATATTTATTTTATAATGAATTTCTGGATTCATAGAACTGTATGTAAAGCTTAACAATAGTAAACATTTTAAATAAAGTTGGTTGTCAGAATTGGATGTTTTCCTGTTGTCATGGTAAAGAAAAGCAACTGCAACTTTTGGTCATTTATATGTTTTATCTCTTTTAGTAACTCTGAACCTTCACACCACAACAGTGAAGGGGCAGAAAACTCTCGGGATGACTCCAGCAGCCACAGCGGCTCTGAAAGCAGCTCTGGATCTGACTCAGAGAGTGAAAGTAGTTCCAGTGACAGTGAGGCAAATGAACCATCCCAGAGTGCATCTCCTGAGGTGAGAGGGCGGCGGGAGCACCTTCCACAGGCCCTGTCAGGACCCCTGGCGATGGCCAGTTGAGAACTGATTCAAATATAAACGGTGAAAGGAAGAAGGTTACATATTCTGACAAAAAGAAATTGAATTATATATCTTGGAGGAAACCTAGATACTTCAGTTTCTTCAAACAAACATTTGGTCTAGATTAGGAACTATTTGAGGTCATATTTCAGGTCATGAAAATAATTGGATTTATTTTGATTGGGCTTTATTTTTGTGTCTTAACGTGGTAATTCATTTGTAGTTATTGTGGGTAAAAAATATAATTTTACTGCAGCCCGATGAAATGTGATTAAAATCTATTGGACCTATGTCATTTGTTTACTTTCTGAAATTAAATGTCTTTTAAAATTTTGCCTTTGAAGATAGATTTCTGACAGAAATATTTCATATTTAAAGGCCACGTATAACATTAAGTTTATCTTCTCATTCAAGTGATTAGATCTAATGTCAATATCCAGCTCTTTGCTTTGGTTCAATAAGAACAATGAAAAACAAATGTGCTTGTGGCTTTGGCATTGTGTGTTTCCTCTTCCTGAGACTGTAAAGGAGGGAAGAAAGCTTCAGTATTGAAAAAAGCATACTGGGCCGGCTGAGTGACTCAGTTGGTTAAGAGCTCGCTCAAGAGTTTGAGCTCTGAGCAACAGTGGTTCGAGTCAGCCCGAGCTGAGCAGCCGCTGAGCTGCCAACAGGTAGCAGGATGGCTCAGCTAAAAAAAAAAAAAAAAAAAGAGACCTTGAAAAAAGCATACTTATTTCTCTGTCTTTCAGCCCGAACCACCACCTACAAACAAATGGCAACTTGATAATTGGTTGAATAAAGTGAACCCACATAAAGTGTCACCAGCTTCTTCTGTGGACAGTAACATCCCGTCATCTCAAGGCTATAAAAAGGAAGGCCGAGAACAGGGCACTGGGAATAGCTACGCTGATCCAGGTGGACCTAAAGAAACTAGTTCCACTACTCCTGGACGAGACTCCAAAACCGTCCAAAAGGGATCAGAAAGTGGGCGTGGGAGGCAGAAGTCTCCTGCACAGAGTGACAGCACAACACAGAGGAGAACTGTAGGCAAAAAACAACCCAAAAAGGCTGAGAAGGCAGCTGCTGAAGAGCCCCGTGGAGGCTTGAAGATAGAAAGTGAAACCCCCGTAGACATGGCTACCAGCATGCCCTCCAGCAGACACAAAGCAGCCACCAAAGGCTCAAGGAAACCCAACATTAAAAAGGAGTCCAAATCTTCCCCTCGACCTTCAGCAGAGAAAAAAAAATACAAGTCAACCAGTAAATCTTCCCAGAAATCAAGGGAAATCATAGAAACAGATACCTCATCCTCAGATTCGGATGAAAGCGAGAGCCTTCCTCCTTCCTCCCAAACTCCTAAGTACACTGAGAGTAATAGGACTCCCGTTAAGCCCTCCTCAGTGGAGGAAGAAGATAGCTTTTTTCGGCAACGTATGTTCTCTCCTATGGAAGAGAAGGAACTTCTTTCACCCCTTAGTGAGCCTGATGACAGGTATCCACTTATTGTGAAGATTGACCTGAATCTCTTGACTAGAATACCAGGAAAGCCTTACAAAGAAACAGAGCCACCCAAGGGGGAAAAGAAAAATGTGCCAGAAAAGCACACAAGAGAGGCTCAGAAACAAGCCTCAGAAAAAGTTTCCAACAAAGGCAAGAGGAAACATAAGGTTTGTGAAGGGTTTTATTGAAATGCAGTAGACATCTCAGCCAAAAAATAACTTGCTGAGTCATAGCTATGAGGGAAAATAGAGGGTGAGCCCAAGGTCTTGCTAAGGCTACAGACAAAACGTTCTTCTGAGCACCCTTGGGCTTCTGCCTGTCTTCTTCAGTAAAGCAGGATAGCTTCTAATCAAGTCAGAAATGAGCCAGTGCTTCGGTTCAGAGTGTGTGCTGGCCGGTGTAGAGGTAAGAGTGAAGCAGAGAGATTGCAAGCTAGCCTTCACAAACAGCATTCTTCCAATTTTGGTTTGAAATGTCTTTAGTTGGGATATGTACTCTCCAGGTTGTCACAGTCCCTAACACTTCTCTCTTCTACCCAGACCAAATCACACTTTTTAAATTACTAATTCCAGCTAAAAATATAATAATTGACTCACTAATTTTGACACGTCCTTAAGAATTTCACCAATCCACTATACATACCTATGCCCCACTTTTTCCCCTTTTTTAACATCCATATCTGCAAGTTCAGAACTAAAAACATCTGCTGGCACATAGCCAGCTCTCACCCCTAAATACTTACAAGATAATTTGGATTTAGAGATGAAGGTTGGTGCATATATTTAAGGTCAGCTTTTTTAGACCTAAGAAATGTGAAAATTCACATATGTCTATGTTGAAGGATACTAGACATAATGAAAAGAGCTGAATAACTTACATATTTAGATGGAGATTTTTTGAAAAAAAAACAGCTTGAGTTTTTCAGCGCTAGTGAGGAATATTTTTTTCTTTTTTATTGTTAGTTTCAGGTGTACAGAACAATGCAATAGTTATCCTTTTCACCCTTCACACAGAAACAAACCCCCTCTCCATCTACTGCCCTCCCACCCCCTGATATCATACTTATCTATTACAATTTGAATTTGTAGAGGAAAGTAAATTTTAATACTTTTGAAGTATTAAAGTATTCTTTACTATTTTGAAGAATAGTGTTAATTTCCCAATACATACATACATACATATATATATATATATATATATACATATATATATATATATATATGAATATGATTGTAAAAGACGAAAAGCATTGAACAGGTGAACAAATAGGTACCAGAATGGCTGTACCAGGTGGTCTCGGAACAAAACCCCACTCTCAGTTGACCTTGAGAATTTCACGTAGGAGAATAGGAAGAATTCAGCATTTTTCTAAAATAAAGTAAACCAGAGGTTTATCCTTTCTCTTTTTCTTAAAACCACAGTACTATGTGCAGATGATGATGTATATTTGGACAAACTAGAATAATACTTGTCTCTTTCTTTTTGTATCTTCAAAAGTTGAAGATATTTTAAAATTTGAATTTCTAGAAAACTGAAGCTTACTACTTCAGTGCTATTGATAATGAGTTTCCATTATTGTACTATAGGGATGCTTTATTCAATGAGTAAGCTATCTAGGGCTGCTGGCCCCAATAGCCCACAGCCTCAGATTGCTGGGCATGATTATGGGACTTAATTTATAGAATTGCATGAAACAGAGCTTGTAAATGATAGGCTCTGCCATTTAGGAAACTAAGGTGTTTCTTATGAGATAAAAAAATGATCCTTTAGTGCTTAACAAGTATTATGTGTTTTTTGATAAGATTTTCAAATGTTTATAAATAGAAAGTCCTTTTTACTCTTGTTTAAAATTTTACTATATATATATATATATATATATATATATATATATATATATATATATATATATATATATATATATAACTTGTAATAAAAAATCCCTTTCCCCTAAAAAAAGTGCCCCATATCTCCTCTCCTCCCTTATATCTTCCTGGATATATTTCTACCAAGTTTTTTATATAAACACTTATAGGCCAAATTTTGATTTTATAAAATGTATCCCACCAGAAAACTTGATTTTTGAGATTCATGGCTTTGGTAAATGTGTCGGTTGTTCCTAAAGATAAAGCAGGTAGTACTGAGAGGAAACCCAGCCAAGAGTAATGAATGATGTAGATTCCTTTTTCTCATGTTTTCACATGTTCAACTTTAGTCATTTTGTGTAGGGGAACAGAGTCTTTTGTTATGGCAGAATGTTTACAATCATGTGCCCTGGTATTTAAAGCAAATATCAAATAGGAAAACTTAGATTCACTCAGGAAAGTAGCATTGGCACTTTAGATGGGCCCATAGCTTTTGTTTCAGCTAAAAAAAAAGTTTTTCAAAAGTCGTTAGGCTTGGCTATAATAAAAAATGTGGACAGTAGCAAGTGTTGATGAAGACATGGAGGAATTGGAATTATACAGTTCTGGTGGGAATGTAAAATGATGAAACAGCTTTGGAGAGTGAATTTTAAAGATTGAATTTTATGGTATGTAAATCATATTTTAATTAAAATTTCATTCCCCCAAAAAACAACATTAGTCTGAAAAGATGCCATCCAAAAGACTAGGGAATTTGTTTCAATATTTGGGCCCTCTTTATCTAAAATGGGGGACTTTTTCTGAGCCTTAAAACCTAATTTACTGAACATTGTTTAAATGATTTTTTTTTACTTCACGTTTATCTTCTTTCTGAAGTTTATCAGGGATAAACTCTTTGGGGGTGATTAGTGCTGGAAACTGAAGTTAGAAAATAAAGTTCAAACCTAGCAGCTGCTGCTTCTGTTTTTCATCCAGAATGAAGATGATAACCGAGCCAATGAGAGCAAGAAACCCAAAACAGAGGACAAGAATTCAGCAGGCCACAAGCCATCCAGCAACAGAGAGTATGTCCCCAAAAGTATTATAGGCGTGTTAATATATGTACACGTATGTCATTTGCTTTGGAATGCTCTTAGAATGTACCTTTTAGCAACTATATGTCATATACATGTATACACATACATATACCAAATACTGTGAGCTTCTGCTTTTAGTTAATAGGCATAGAAAGCATAAAAGATCCAGTCACTTCTTCCTCTGCTCTTTTTTTTAATGGAGTAGGGGTGAGTATAGGATAAGAATTAAAGTAAGGCTTTACCACTTTCTGGCTAGATATCAGCTTATCTGTAACTTGCAAGAGATTAATTGTTATTATGAGTGTTAGTATCTTCATTTACCATTCATTTTCTGTTTCTTCTATTCAACCAGTATTTATTTATTGAATACTTACTGTGTGGCAGGCCAAGGTTTAGGCATTGGCCTGCCACATGGGCGGGGCCATCCATGGGCGGGGGGTGGAGGTGGGAACAAGATGCCTGCCCTCATGAAATTTACAGTTCTGTTTTGCAGAAATCATGTGTTCTAGTAATCTAATGGGCAAAACAAAGTCTTGAAAGCAGGCAAAGAGAAATGGAAAAATCCATCACCCTTATATTACTGTGTGGAGAAATGAGGGCATTTATTTGGTTTGGCAGGTCATCTAAGCAGAGTGCAGCAAAAGAAAAGGATTTGTTGCCTTCTCCTGCTGGGCCTGTTCCTTCAAAAGATCAAAAAACAGAGCATGGCTCTCGGAAGAGGACTATTAGTCAGTCTTCTTCCTTAAAGTCAAGCAATAACAGCAACAAGGAGAACAGTGGGAGCAGCAAAAACAGTTCCTCCACGTCAAAGCAGAAGAAAACTGAAGGGAAGACTTCCAGTAGCTCTAAGGAGGTCAAGGTAAGTCATTGGGGGCTTGAGTCTTTAGAAAATCAGTTTCGTTGCTATGTGACTTCTCCAAGGTGACACGGTGCTTTGGAAATTTTGTAAACATCTCAACATTTATAGTCCTGTGCATTTTACTCTCAAAATGTGATGATCTTGATAATAAACTTAGCAGTGATCTGAGACCATGAAAGCAGCAAGTCAGCTGGCCACATGTATAGTAATTAAGATAGAAACCAATAATTGGAAAAGTTGGTTATGGAAAAACACTTTTGATTATGGTCTAATTATAAAAAGCCCCAGTTGCTTGTCTGAGGTTTGAAGTTGGCTGTGGATTTTTTAGAATTCAATTTTACAAGCAAGTTACCGTACTTTGCCCTGTATAACGTGCACTTTTTTTGCCCAAATTTATGAGGGAAAAATAAGGATGCGCATTATTCATGGGTAGTACTAATATAAATGTTTTTAATTCTTTTATTTATGCTTATGAGTTAAAAGTGCAAAAATAAATAAATGGTAAAATTTCTTTATAATACAAAAAACAAGTACCTAAATATAAACAAATAAAAATTTGAATTAAAAAATTAAAATGAAAGATTTTTTTCCCTGAAAGTTTGGGCCAAAAACGTGAGTGTGCATTATACATGGGAGTACATTATACATGGCAAAATACGGTACATTACATAAAGTGACAGAGTAGCCATTTGGCTTTGATTCTTGAAGAAGAAGAAAATTATTAAGCAGAGCTAACACTGAAATTAT